GGGATAACAAAGCATTGCTAGTGCTCTGTGTTGTCATTAGATGGATTGGGCCCAATCCCATTTATGTCAGTGGCTATGTTGGACTTAATGGGTCACACAGAAACACCTTAAGTTATCTTGAATTCTAACATATGTGGTTTGTGCCCAATAAGGCATAATGGGCCTAAGTTGAAAAAGCCCACATATTGGGCCAAGAGAAAGTAGGTGGCATCATGGGTCAAGTTGAACTTGATCCATGATGTAACCTAATTAATTTAAATATTAAATTAATAAAATTAATTTGAATTCTAGTTTCGAATTTCGAATTAGAAATTTGAATTTAAATAAAATCAATTTAAATTCTAATTTTGAATTTAAATATAGTCATTAAATTAGATTTATTGATGATAGAGAAAATAAAGAAAACAAATCAATTAGATTGATTGGAAACAAATCAATTGGTTTGATTGACCAAAATTAAGAAAACTAATTAATTAAATTAATTGGCTGAAATTGGAGAAACAAATCAATTGGATTGATTGACCAAAATTAAGGAAACCAATTAATTAAATTAATTGGCTGAAATTGGGGAAACAAATCAATTGGATTGATTGACCAAAATTACGGAAATCAATTAATTAAATTAAATGGCTGAAATTTGGAAAATCAATCAATTGGATTGATTGGATAAAATTAAGGAAACCAATTAATTAAATTAATTGGCTGAAATTGGGGAAACCAATCAATTTGATTGATTGCATAAAATTAAAGAAATTACCCAATAAGATTGGGATTTGATGAGGGCGCTTATTTGACCTAGTCTTAGGTTAATAAGGCGGCACATCTATATATAGCCCCTCTTCTTCCTTAGTTTCGTATCTCTTTTTCTCTAATTTTCTCCACTAAAACCTTTGCCAACACAAACATCAGTGTGACAGCTATCTCTCTCTTAGAATAACCAAAGGCACCACCCAATCTCTATTCTTCTCTTGAGTCTAGCAACCTCCATTGAAGGATATTGGGCATTCGAATAAGTGTTCTCTTACAAGACAACAAGGTGATGTGGATTTCCATCGGAGGACTTGTGTTCTTCAAGTCTAAAGATTTGATCAAAAACGCATCTGATCAGGAATTATTATCCGAATAAAGGTATCAACTTTAAACTCCTAACATGTCTATTGCATGATTCATGGGTTGAACATGATTTAGGGTGGGAAAAGGTTGCTTCTTCCGCACAAACTTTTTAATTTTCCCTTTTTTATGTTCATGGCCTACAAAGGCCTACTTACATGTTGAACCTTGTGTGCCACCTTTGTCAATTAGGTACAATTTGATGGTTTAGAACACACTTTGATAAAGTGGGATTAGTTAATAAAACAAAGGAAATGTCGTCGAATTTTCTAAGAAATGATCAGTTTTTAGGCCAACTTTGGGAGACTATATCTCCTTCCACAGATGTCCAAATGGAATGTACCATACACAATTTTAAAACTTAGGATGTCGATATGTTGTCCCAAAATTTGGTGCCATTTAGAGTTGTATAGTGTTCTGTAGGACGAAGGGAACACAGACTGCCCAGACGGGCCTGTTCAAGGGACAGCTACGGGTCCTTACTTCCAAAAATCATATCTCCCTCAATTCTTACTCAAATTAGGCTTATGACATATGAAATTGAAGATCATTCTGTGTAAAAATTTGAAATCATTTGGTTGAGTAAAAAATTGGGAATCGTAGAAATGGGGAGGGATGTTTGGTGCCCCGTTTGTAGTTGGTTGGCAGCTTTGCTTGTCCAACTTCAAATGATTATAAGCGGAGCTAAAAAAACTCCAAAGGAGGCGTGTGATACCTTGTTGAAAAGGTAAAAGAGCCTATTTTAACATACTAAAAGATGGGAAATTAATAAAGAGTGTTTCACGCCCATTTATGTAAAAATAGAAGGGAACTTTGTTTTAAGAAAATGCTAAAAATGAGTTTTGGGCTAAGTTGGTTTATGGGAACCTCTTAGCAACTTAAAATAAGTATTGTATGATAGTTAGGCAAGTAAAATATTAATATCGTATTTAGAATTCAGTTACGATCACAGTTTGTATTATTACGCTTTATGTTGTTTTAAATTGTATACGTAACGAAAAGGGAAAAGTTTACCCATATTTTTAAATAGACTGATGTGATTGTAACTGCGCTTAACATTATAATCAATGTTAATAATACCGGTGTACAACGGGCTGTTACATCCCACATCAAGATGTACTCTGATCACCACAGGCCAATCCACCATTAGCTCTAATACCAATTGTTGGGTCGTGCAGGGGGAGCTCATAGTGGGGAGAGATCGCCAACTATGGGGCAAGTAAGTGGACTTGAAACATTACAATCAAACCCAAAATCTTAAGGTATTAGATGCATGAGTCCTTCCACTTATATGGTGCTCACTTAGTCCATTCTTAACCATTGTGAGACTTTTTCACTTAATCATTCACACTTAAATTTCTCAACGCCAAGGTTAAGGAACTTCGGTTCCATATTTGTATATATTGGAATTACAATTGTCACACGAGGGGACACTCATTGGATGCTTGAGCTCAGTGCATGTATATTATAGACAATTGGGGCACACACACCAAATTTGGTGGAATATGGTTTCACTGTAAAAGGATATTCATATGGCTTGAATGATGGTACACTTATGCAGATAGATAGATATATATATATATATATGTGTAATTAATCTGACCTTGTTGCAAGTAACAAATAGTTGTGCACATCCCAAATAGATGACACGTGAACTGTCTTGTTATTTTGTTGGATTTGATGATGTTGAATAAATACAATATTTGAATAATGACTGTATTTTGTAGCTTAAGAGCTGAAGGCATGTAACTTAATGTATAACTTGATGGCTTATACAAGGGGATGTTTTATTCTGATTGGGATGGATGTACTCAGTCAAGTATGTTGAGAATTGTAAATTTGAACAACGTGTAAATTATATTGATATGTACTCCATGTTGGATGACTTTAAATTTGGAGAAAGGAAGAAACAATATCGTAGATATAGAGGAATAAGAAGTTACAGACTATCCAGATATCTGTTGGGTTTTGCTCTTGCATTATGATTTGTTCAAATGATAGAGGTGTCTAGTCAAATATTAGTAAATTGATTTTGGATCTAATGCTCTCTCGAAGATATCTATGAAGGAGATATCCTTTGAGGTGACAGACCATTGCGCACTGATAGAAATGACTTTTGGCAATGAGGTGGTGTGTGTGCATAGTGACCATATAACAGTAAGAGAGAGATTTGGTTATACATATAGGCTTTACCTCTTATTTATGGAGTTTACCTGTGGTAGTAGAATTCTAGACCTTATTTTGGGGCCCAATTTCAACTACATAGCTATCAGGATAAGATTGTCATCAATAGAAAATTCTCTTCTTTATTCGCATAACTTTTCTTTTATGTTGCCTCTTATTAGGTCTTCTAAAATATGGGCATCTCATTAGCCGGTAAACATTAAAAGTTCAATTGGGCTTAATGTGTAAGAAGAGCTCAAAAAGCCTAGATCTCATTCAGCTTATGGTTAGGGTTTCTTGGAATCCATATATATTCTACACATTCATCAGCCTTAAGTCTTCACTTTGTGGTTGTAGAGGCTGAGGTAAGGTCATAGTGAGAGAGTGCTCACACACCACCTTTTGCCCTTTGAGAGATAGTATGAAAGATCTACCACTAGCCAGCCTCAAGGAGATTGTTTGTTCTACAATGCAGAGGAGAGCAGTTCGTAAAGAGAAATCAATCACGATGAGATACTGCACAGATTTGCGCGACAAAAGATAAATTAGAACGATGATGATTCGTCGTATCCCAAACTTCAACAGTCTAAACACTTCCGCAAATCCAATTGCGCCTATAACATCGACATTAATGAGAATTTATGTGTATGTATATGCCTTATATTTGGAACTCTTCATTAAAATTGTTATGACTCAAGTTATATTATTAAGCAACCTCCTCTCAGATAAGAGGTTGTAATTTAAATTATATTAAACCAATTAAGGTGTTCTTAGACTTGAAGGAAAGCTAAACAAGAGTACCTTAATTTTGGAAAATTGGAGAGCAGGTAATTAAGTAGTCCACCCGCAGAAAGTGTTATAAATTCAATAAGATTTTCTTGACATTAGGCAATTTGGACAGCCACCTTCACATTTTTGTATCATATCTCAGTACCAACTTATCCAAAAATCATAAACAATACATTGTTAGAAAGATTATAACATCTACTTTCTTGACGTAAAATCTCAGAACTTTTTGGGACATAATTATCTCTTAGTTTAGTCATAAAGCAATGCTGCCAGAATAATATAGTTAGTTGTTCCTCAATTTCTTGTACTTCATTTTCTTGAGCTATTTCATTTTACTTTCTTGTATAAATTGACGACTATTGCATCTTGGTTAACTAATTCCATAAACAAGAATTAGGACTCATATTAGCTCTCTCTCGCATAGCGTCAGCTCCTTTGTGAGCTTATAAATTTGTATGTGAAGGAAATTTCATGGCTGTCTTGATTTATGAGTGCTTATGACCTTCAAATGTGTTTTTTTTATTTTTAATATTGTTGGCGCTAGAATTCCAGATTGCGTAACAAACCAAGTCGACACGAGTAGCATTTTGTTATTTTATTTTTGTGCTAAGAAAAATTGTATAAATCATGGGTGAGAGAAGATGAGTAATTTTTTTTTAATTTAAAATTTAAATATTTTTTTTTTCTATGTTTGTCTCTCTCTTAAAAATACAGAGTGTTATGTTATTTAAAATGAAAAACAATTTTTTCCGTATTGTATATAATTATATAAATTTAATATAATGGGTTCATTAGTAATTCACTTGTTAAAACCGAATCGATAACAGTAATAAATTAGCAAAACAGAGTGGATGGTGACACGTACTATGAATCCAATCCATTAGATTTAAAATAAAACAAAATGAGAACTTCACGTGAGCCGCACGGACTTTAAAAATTCATGAGTCGATTCAACTCCAGCATGCTTCACAATCTACTCAACGAACAGTGATGTCGATTCTCAGAACATGTTTGCCCAAGATTTTGTCACATCGTAATCGTTTGGTTTCGTCCCTTTCACCTCTTACCATGCACTCCAATTATCTATATCTTCCTCCAGTACACTCCCTCACCCTCTATGCCTCTCTTTCCACTTCTCATACCCCTTCTTCATACAAGCCTCAGTTTCCCTGGAAACCCATGTGCTTGTACCACACTCAGGGAAAGTGCACCAAGGTAGCTACTTTTTTACGACCCATCAACTTAAACTTCGTTTCTGTTGCTGGGTAATCTTTGCTCAACCCAAGTTTGACGCTTTTATTGTCATTCGGAGAATTCTGGATGATACTGGTTTTGTGTGCCACGTGTTTGATCAATTGTTTCACTGGTAAAGAATGAGATGACTTTGTTGCATAGTTGATCACCGCCACCTTATTATGTATTCTTCGATTTTTTTTTAGTAAGCATGTATTTATCATTTTAGTAATGCGGTATCCTCCTAAAACATCTCATCATACTTAACAATGAAAGTATTATGTACTAAAATAAAAAGTATTAAATGAATAGTAGGAAGTGTATCCTCTCATCTGAAAAAGTGGTTGGAATCAAAATATGGTCATATTATTTGATCATAATTTCTAATTTAAAAATTATACAATTTTCTCTCTCTTATCTCGTCATCAATGAGTTATTGGGATCAAATAACATGATCACTTTTTTACATGAGATGATCCACTCCCGAATAGTAGAGACGTTTAATATATTGGGAACATAAAAAGTGTTCAATATTTTCTTCATTTAGTAATTAGGAGGATAAAGAATTATTCTCGTGAATATTAGAGAGGAATCACTTTGTTCGGAGCATGCTGACTTGTGTGTCGCACTGGGTTTATTAAGAAGTGTTTTTTCATGTCAATGCTGCTTGCTCAATTGTCCAGTTACATGTACAATTCTCAGTAGGTTTGGATCCTGTACTTACAGGGGAAACCTGGTTCCATTACATTGTTATGTGTTGCAGGCCTGGTAGATGAGCTTGAGTGCTTGACTTTGTGGGAACTGGGAAGATAGCTAATTAAGTCATTTACTTCTAGTTTTGGAATATGGTATTGAGGAACAGGAATAAGCTTTATTCATGTGTTTTCTCAAATATATTATGTAATGATGGGATGTTACTAGGATAGACAATTTACTTATTCAGAGACCCCAGCCCTTGATGTTTATTAAGTGTATAAGAATATTGTAGGAAGATATCAGCTGAATTGAATTGAATATGACTCATTCTGGAAAATAAGACTTGCAGCTTACGAACTGGAAAGCTGTGTCTTTGTAGTACATTGATAATTTTATAAGTGAATATAGTATCTATAGTTTTGTTGAAGATGTTTTCTTGTCTCCAAATTTGCAGATGGATGATCCTATCCACCTTGAGAGGTTTAATCATGATTGCTGCAGGGAGCTTCAAGTGACTACTGCTGAGTTAAACAAAATAAGCTCTCAGAATCTAGACTTTTTCCTTGTGCTTGATTTAGAGGGTAGGGTTGAGATTCTTGAGTTTCCAGTTCTAATGATTAGTGCAAAAACAATGCAAGTTGAAGACATTTTCCACAGGTTTTGATCTGCCACTTTATAGCGTGTCTAGCAGGAGCCGTGTTCTATGATTGCCTGAGATATACCCGTTTTTCTTTTTATTTTTTTTTATTTTTTGTAATTGTGTATTGCTTTTTATTGTGTTTTATAGTTCCAGAAAGAATATTTAAAGGGAAAGAATGTTTGAAGGATAAAATGTTGAAATTACTTTTCTTAGAATATAGTGATTATCAGAAAGATCAAATTCTAATTATACATAGTCATCATTTGGATATTAGAAATTATTTTGGAAGTAGTTTATCCATTGAATTGAATAGTACGCTCTTGAGTTTTAAACCCTTAAATGCAACGGCTGGGTTAGGAGTCTTGCTACATATTTGAGATTAGTATTTTTTGAATTTCTTTGAATTAGTTTCTTTTGAAAATACAATGTATATATGATGATCTTCTTCTTCTTTTTTGCATGTCTTACAATTTTACTTTTGCGTTGTTCCTTTAACTGTTTAACAGGTTTGTGAGGCCCTCAAAAATGAGCGAACAAAGAATAAATGAATACATTGAAGGAAAGTATGGAAAATTTGGAGTTGATAGGTATGCAATTTAATCTGCTTTACTATCCTTAACTGATTCATACTTGTGATCTTTATACAATCTTCTCGGTTTTCATTTTCAATTTTACTACCAAAAGCAGTCTAACAAGTGCAGGTACAACTCCTCTGCTCCAATTCTGTTTCTTCATGTAGTGCTTTAACTGTAATATTTGTAATTGAAGGTTGCTTTGCTTGCAGTAAAAATTTGTAGAGAAGTGTTTACTATTAATTGATATGTCTGATGAGCAATGGGTTAGACTACTGAAATAAGATTTGTTGATTTTAATTTAAGGTTGACAATAGCTGTAACACAAATTCATATTATTATAGCAGTTACCAAGGGATTGTCACCTGCTACTGCAACCAACAGTGCCACTGGTAACCACCGAGTATAAATATGCTACTTCGATTGACTTTTTTTCCCCTTTATGCCAGAGTTTGGCATGATACTAACCAGTGAAAGAGAAATAATGTGGGAGCTAGCTCAAAGGGTGAGAGTGCTCAATGCCTTATAAACTCCACATTAGTTGCTCATACAACTAATGTGGGGCTATATATCTCAACAGTTTATAATAGTTTATAATAGATTTATAATAGAAAGATGGGAGACTGCTGAAGGTTTATAATAGAAGGAGAAGAAGTGGACCGGAGGAAAGGGAAAGTCATGGACATGCAGGAGGCCCAAATGGAGAACATGAAGGAGGCCCAAATGGAGAACATGAAAGAGGCCCAAGAGACTCATCAGATAGGAAGGAAAATGAGATTGGGGCTAATGGACATCACGTGACAAACCTGTGACAGACCCAAAGGAAAGAGAGTCAGTTCCAACAAATGCAAGAGAAGTTAGTTAGAGGAGAGAGAAAGAGGTGGTGAGGGAATTAGTTATAAGAAAGGGAATGCAAGTTGTAAAGGTATCTTGAATTTGTGAGTGGAGTAATGGGGAAGAGGGTACTCAGGGAGTCCCTTTTGGATTTTCTTTTTGTTATTTGAAGGCTGTTGCAGCCATTTACGGATGATAATCGTAGTGTCTTTGTAATTCTCTATGAGCTAAAGTGTCTTAGCTTGTGGGAAAGTTTGAATACAAATAGTTGTTTTAATTCCAGATTTATATCCATCTTTAAATTCAGTTTCATCATTTTGGTATCAAAGCTCCCGTTCCTTGGAGCAGTGAATGGTATTAACCAAAATGGAGGCTAGAATGGAGTCTATAGAACGAAGAACGACCCAATTTGAAGGAAGGATGGGGGAAATGACCACTGAGATGCGTCAACTCCGAGAAACAGTTTTGGCGTACTTTGATAGGGTGGATCAACATGATCCTAACTCAGGAGTAGGGAGGGGTTCGAACAACAACGGACCAGGAAATGATGGGAGAGGTAGTCGTAATGGAGTTTTGGGTAGGGACGAAGATCGTATGCGGCGATTGGAGGTTCCATACTTCGCCGGAGACGGTCCATATGGATGGATTTATCGAGCTGAAAGGTATTTCCGGAATAATCAAATTCCGCCAGAAGAACAGGTGGAGGCTGCATCGATTTGCATGGAGGGTAAGGCACTGAACTGGTTCCAATGGTGGGAATCAAGGAACCCTAACATTGAGTGGGCCCAACTTCGTTCGGCATTGTTGCAAAGATTCCACACGTCGTCTTCTGGAAATCCATTTGAAGCACTCATGTGTTTGAGGCAGCTGGGGACGGTTTCAGAGTACAGGGAAAATTTCGAAATGCTTGCGGTACCACTAAGAGATGCAGATGATGAGGTTATGAAGGCTGCGTTCCTCAATGGTTTGCGAGAAGGAATCCGGGCAGAGGTGAGGTTGGCACAACGGGTCGAGGAGAAAGAAATGGTAACAGGGAAGGGAGGAGTAAATGTGGGTCGCATGGGTGTTGGGCCTGGATCAGGTTTTCATCAAAAGCCCGCGTTGACAATTAGAAATAATCAACCAGGGCTGAGCACAAATGGGAGGGGGTCCAGTAACAATAATTTTTCTAGGAGTAACGGGCCACAATCACGGCCCAATGCCAACTTAGGGCAACTGACAGCTGAGATCGGAGAAGGACAAGGATCCACACTTGGGGGGACAAGGGAAAATGTCACGGGTGAAAGACGCAACCCACGATTCAGGCGGTTGTCGGCGGAAAAGATGGCGGACTACCGTCGCCAGAATTTGTGTTATAGGTGCGACGCACCTTACTCGGCAGACCACATCTATGGCAATCCTCATCTTCGAGTGATGTTGCTCGGCATCGGGGACGAAGGGGAGGAAATAAACGAAGAAGACGAAGCGATAGCAGCCATGGATGACGACAGAGAGCAACATCTGAGGCTGAGCATGCATAGCGTGGTGGGGGTGACGTCGAACCACTCTCTAAAGGTATGGGGGAAAATATTGGGCGAACCGTAATGATATTGGTGGATTCATGAGCAACACACTATTTTATACACGATCAATTGGCAAAGGAACTGAACTTGCCGATGGATGGGTCGACTACGCATAAAGTGGAGGTAGGAATCAGGTACAAAATAAGGGAGTCTGTAGACAGGTAACCATCTCCTTCCCTAATTTGACTGTGATTCAAGATTTTTATCTTTTCCATTTAAATGGTGTGGATGCTATATTGGGGTTTGAGTGGCTGGCAACTTTGGGGGAGTTCAAGGCAAATTTCAGAGACCTCCATCTGAAAATACCCACGTCTAATGGAGTGGTGGAGCTGAAAGGAGATCCATCCGAGACCAAAAGTATGATGTCTTTTAAGAAGATGGGGAAAACATGGAGAAAAGGGGCAGAAAAGTATTATATTGAGCTGAGTCTCTTGTCGGTAGAGGAGATAAAAATACAGGAAGTGACAGAGGAGATGATGCAGGTGTTACATAATTATGAGGATGTCTTTAAAACTCCTCAAGAGCTTCCTCCGTCCAGAGCATGTGACCATCGAATAATTCTGAAGGAAGGGGGGATATCTCTAATATTAGGCCATATCGATACCCTCGTTATCAGAAGGAGGAGATCGAGAAATTTGTGAAGGACATGCTAATTGCGGGGATGATCAGACCCAGCAATAGCCCTTATTCTAGCCCTTTGATCCTTGTGAAGAAAAAAGATGGAAGCTGGAGATTCTGCGTCGATTACAGGGCTCTCAACCACATCACTGTGACAGACAGATTCCCCATGCCAATGATTGATGAGCTGATGGACGAGCTAGGAGGAGCAGTAATATTTTTTAAATTGGATCTGAAATCTGGATATAACCAGATTCGGATGTGTGTGGAGGACATTGCGAAAACGGCGTTTAGGACACATGAGGGTCATTACGAATACATTGTAATGCCCTTTGGCCTAAAAAACGCTCCCTCGACATTTCAAGCACTGATGAATGAGATATTCAGGCCATTTCTGCAGAGTTTTGTATTGGTTTTCTTTGATGACATCTTGGTGTATAGCAAGGATGTTCAATCTCATGTTCAACATTTAACTCAAGTGCTCGAAATTCTAAGGCAGAATAGGCTACAAGCTATCAAGAAAAAGTGTAGTTTTGGGAGGGAAGAGCTGGAATATTTGGGCCACATAATCAGTAGAGATGGGGTTAAGGCAGATCAGAGCAAGGTGGAGGTGATGCGGTTGTGGCCACGGCCTAAGAATTTAAAAGGCTTGAGAAGGTTCTTGGGAATTACCGGATATTATAGAAGATTTGTGAAAGATTATGGGTTGAAGGCAAGACCAGTAACTCATTTACTCAAGAAGGACAGCTTCGTATGGAGTGATATAGCAGAGAAGGCTTTTGAGGAATTGAAACAAGCAATGATGAGACTACCCACATTGGCTCTACCCAACTTTGAAAAACAATTTGTGGTGGAAACGGATGCATCAGGGTTGGGCATGGGGGCAGTATTAATGCAAGATGCTGTCCCTATAGCTTTTTTGAGTTAAGCTTTTTCTGATCATGCTAGGAATTTATCCGTGTATGAAAGGGAGCTCAAAGCCATTGTGTTTGTTGTACATAAATAGCGACATTACCTACTGGGCCACAAATTTTTTACAAGGACTGATCAGAGGAGTTTGAAGTTTCTAACTGAGCAAAGGTTAATGGCAGAAGGGCAGCAAAGGTTGGTGGCAAAGCTGTTAGGATTTGACTTTGAAATCCAATATAAACCGAGAGTGGAAAACAGGGCTGCAGATGCTCTCTCACGGGTAATGGAGTTTAAAGAGTTAACTATGCTATCCAGCCCCAAGTTGCAATCCTTGGCTGAGGAGCTGTTGGCCGATGAGTTCAGCAACAAAGTGATACGAGAAATTTTACAGGACCCCAATGCACACCCTTGATACAAGTTCAATCGTGGCTGTTTGTGGTATCATGGTAAGCTGGTTCTCCCTCAAAGATCACCTCATATTCCCTTACTTTTACAAGAGTTTCATGCTTCACCTTGGGGAGGACATTCAGGGGAGTTGAGGACATTTAAAAGGATTTCCACTCTGTTTTATTGGAGGTGAATGAGAAGGGATGTAGCAGCATTTGTACAAGCATGTAGCATTTGTCAACAACAGAAATATTGTCATTTAGCTCCTGCTGGATTATTGCAGCCGTTAGGGGTGCCAGACAAAGTGTGGGAAGAAATAACCATGGACTTTATTGGAGGGTTACCTAAATCCCATGGCATGGATACTTTATTTGTAGTGGTTGACCGCCTAACCAAATATGCTCATTTCATTCCATTATCTCATCCCTTTACTGCCCAACAGGTTGCTGTTGTATTTGTCAGAGAAATAGTCCGTTTGCATGGATTTCCCAAATCCATAGTGTCAGACCGTGACAAAGTGTTCGCTAGCAAATTTTGGAGGGAGATTTTCCGCTTGGCGGACACCAAATTGAAGTTCAGCTCCGCTTATCATCCACAAACGGATGGCCAAACCGAGGTTGTCAACAGAACCGTGGAGACTTATCTTCGCTGTTTTGTGGGTCAACATCCAAAGGGCTAGGTCAAATGGATTCCGTGGGCGGAATTCTAGTTTAATACTTCTTATAACAGGTCTACTAACATGACCCCCTTTAGAGCCTTATATGGCCGTGATCCTCCACTTTTAATTCAGTTTGACAGCGGCACTACCCAGTTAGAGGCCGTGGATCAACTCATGCAGAACCGTGATGTTATCTTGGGAGAGTTGAAGCAAAATTTGTGCAAAGCTCAAGAATTTATGAAAAGGTATGCTGATAAAAGAAGGAGAGCTATGGAATATATGGTAGGGGACAAGGTATATCTTAAGCTTCAGCCTTACAAACTCAAATCATTGGCCACACACAAGGTATATCTTAAGCTTCAGCCTTACAAACTCAAATCATTGGCCACACACCTGAACCAAAAACTTAGTCCACGTTATTATGGGCCTTTTGATATTGTAAAACGAATAGGTCCAGTGGCTTATGAACTTTTACTTCCCAATTATGCCAAGATTCACCCCATTTTCCATGTATCCCAATTAAAGAAGGCCCTGGATCCAATCGTTCCAATTTTGGAATTCCCAAAATGCTTGGCCGAATCATTGGAGCTGTATGTGCAGCCAGAAGATGTCATTGCTAGTAGGAGACTGCTGAATGGGCAGATTGAGATTTTGGTCAAATGGAGGGGGCTACCAGAGTGTGAAGATTTTTGGGAGATTCTGGACACTTTTCAGGTGCAATTTTCTAATTTCCCCCTTGAGGGCAAGGTGGTTTTTAAGGAGGGGGGAATTGATGGGAGACTGCTGAAGGTTTATAATAGAAGGAGAAGAAGTGGACCGGAGGAAAGGGAAAGTCATGGACATGCAGGAGGCCCAAATGGAGAACATGAAGGAGGCCTAAATGGAGAACATGAAAGAGGCCCAAGAGACTCATCAGATAGGAAGGCAAATGAGATTGGGGCTAATGGACATCACGTGACAAACCTGTGACAGACCCAAAGGAAAGAGAGTCAGTTCCAACAAATGCAAGAGAAGTTAGTTAGAGGAGAGAGAAAGAGGTGGTGAGGGAATTAGTTATAAGAAAGGGAATGCAAGTTGTAAAGGTATCTTGAATTTGTGAGTGCAGTAATGGGGAAAAGGGTACTCAGGGAGTCCCTTTTGGGTTTTCTTTTTGTTATTTGAAGGCTGTTGCAGCCATTTACGGATGATAATTATAGTGTCTTTGTAATTCTCTATGAGCTAAAGTGTCTTAGCTTGTGGGAAAGTTTGAATACAAATAGTTGTTTTAATTCCAGATTTATATCCATCTTTAAATTCAGTTTCATCAGTTTACTATTAATTGATATGTCTGATGAGCAATGGGTTAGACTACTGAAATAAGACTTGTTGATTATAATTTAAGGTTGACAATAGCTGTAACACAAATTCATATTATTATAGCAGTTACCAAGGGATTGTCACCTGCTACTGCAATCAACAGTGCCACTGGTACCCACCGAGTATAAATATGCTACTTCGATTGACTTTTTTCCCCTTTATGCCAGAGTTTGGCATGATACAGCCATACCATTCAAGGAAGTTATTCAACAATTTGAAGCTTGGTTGATGCAACATCAGTTGTGGATGGGTAGGGAACTTAATCGTGCAGCATTTGTAACTTGGTAAATATCAATACTTCATGGTTCACCTCTTATACTTCTTTTGCTTTTTCTTATTTGTAATGTTACATTTGTTTCCTGCCCTATATATCTAGAATAGCAGAATATGTTCTTTTACATCCAATTCTCTTGCACTTGCAGTGGAAATTGGGATTTGAAAACAAAGGTCCCTCAGCAATGTGAAGTGTCAAAGATAAAGCTTCCTCCATATTTCATGGAATGGATTAATCTCAAAGATGTCTATCTGAACTTTTATAATAGGAAGGTGAGTTCTTTCAATGTTTAGAATTGACAGAAGAAAAAAATAGAATTATTAATTCCTTTTTCCATCATGACAAACAGAACTTTTGGTAAGTGGTTCGATGGAAATTCTATATCTCATCTTGTTGATGAATTGCTTTGTTTGGGTGGTAACTCTAGATGGGTGCCATTGATTTGACATCAATTTTTAAGGTTGAGATTTTAGAGCATTAACCTAAGAAATTATGAAATTTTGAGTCAACTGGATATATTTTAAGCTTTTACCTTGAACCTGGCAAGTCCACCCTACGAATTCTGGTTACAAAGTGAGAAAAAAATTGTTCTTTCCATTCTCTTCTGCTCCTTTTTCTTTTTAGTGGTAAGGATAGAAGAAACTAAGAAACATCGAAATCATTGAACAACCGAAGTAGAAAAAGGGGAAAAAGGATATATAAAGAATTCTTGTGTTACCTAGTTTCTGGTAAAGATATAAAAGTATAGAACAATTTATGTATCTTCACTTAACATGTTAAGCTTTTAGCAGAGTTGGTTCATAACATATTATTAGAACCTCTATGATCAATTGGTTTAGAGTTTTGATTATTACTGTTTCCCATTGTAAAAATTAAATTTCAACACTTGGGCTTGTGCATTGTTTATGCTTCATATCCAATGGGCTTTTGGGTGAGACCGTGAGAGGACATGTTAAAGATATAAAAGTATAAAGTTGTTCATATATCTTCACGTAAAAACCTAAGCTTTGAGGAGAACTTAAGCTTTGAGGAGAGTTGATTCATGACATTCTCATTAACTAGCTAAGAGCATCAAGAATAATATCACTGGCATAGATTATTTTAAATCTAGCACTGGCATATGATCTTTTCACAAAATAACCCTGCCCCCTTAATCTGGATGAATATGTCACACCTAAACTTGGACTTGGTTTTTTTTTTTTCTCTTATTTTTTCTCCGTTGTTTTAAATCCTAATTTACAATACTTATTATACGTTTCCTTGATAACGGTTAACAGGCTACAGGAATGGTTACCATGATGAAGGAACTACAAATACCATTGCTGGGAAGTCATCATCTTGGCATTGATGACACAAAGAACATAGCTAGAGTACTGCAGCACATGCTTGTTGATGGTGCACTCATCCAGATTACAGCAAGGAGGAATCCCAAGTCTCCTGCAGATGTTAACTTTCTTTTTAAGAACCGTATTAGATAGCGGACTTCTCAATGGAGCATGAAACTTCATTTCTATCCTAAAGAAAAAAGCAGATTTCTAGTGGTTTCTGCATATTGTGAGACTGGGAGTAGTGATGCTTGCATGACTTGTGTACACATAATTTTGCACTAGTAAGTAGTAGAATTCCTCAAGATGTGGGTGGCCTAAACAATTTTAATTTAGTTAAACTCAAATAGGGTCACGTGGTTTATCATGTACAATTGTAAAAGTAATTGTGTAAGAAGCATTATTTTTTTAAAAAGCCAACTACATAAAGTTACAGTTCTTAATTCTTACTTGGCCTTGCAGCATATGGTTTGTTTCTTCCGATCAAATAGTTTATCAGAAATATATACATTTCATTAATGCATTCTGATCCTTATGTCAAGTTATTGTTAGAAAAATGTGGGGAAAAAAATTGTGTTTTGGTAAATAAAAACCTTGATATTTTTTTTTTTCACTAATTAGGTGTGTGCAACCAAAAAGATGGAAGGGAGCATTAGAGAAAGCAAAGGGAATGAATTTCAAACAAAGGAAATGTGGTGGTGGAATAAAAAGGTACAGGAAGGAATGTTTTAGATGTTTGCATAAATGTTCTATTGATGAGAACTTGCAAAAGTTTATTGACAAAAAAAGATGCTAAGAAAGTAGTGTGAGAGGCTTGAGGTAAGGGTTTTTTATTTGTATAAAAATCTTGGGAGAAAGGGTGATGAAAAATATATATGTAAACTTGCAAAGATAATAGATAGGAAAAGTAAAGACTTGACCCATGTTAGATGCATCAATGATGAAATTCAAAAAAATTTGGTATGGGATACAAAAGTAAAAGAAAGGTGGATAAACTATTTTTACAATTTTTTAATGGGGATGGAGATAAATGTGAGGTGAATTTGAAGGGCGCTTATAATGATTTGAATATAAGATTTGTGCTCAGAATCAAAGCAGCTAAAGTTAAGGAGACTTTAAAGAAGATGAAGCCTAGTAAAGCTTTTTACCCGATGCTATCCCTATTAAAGTGGGCAGGGGCTTAGGGGTATGGCGATAAATTGGTTGATCAATCTTTTTAATAAGATTCTCCAAATAAATAAAATGTCTGATGTATGGAGGAAAATTATCCTTGTGCCTATTTACAAAAACAAGGGAGATATCCAGAATTATTCTAACTATACAGACATTACGTTTATGAGCCATATTATGAAGTTGTGGGAGAAAGTTATTGAACATCGCTTGAGGAGAGAAACCAAAGTCTCTTTAAATCAATTTGGGTTTATGCCAAGAAAATGTACCATATAGGCCATTTTCTTGGTACGACAATTAATGGAAAAGTATCGAGAAGAGAAAAAGAGCTTACATATGGTGTTTATAGATCTTAAGAAGGCATATATTAGTGTTTTGTAACATCTCGTATGCATCCGGTTCATATACTATTTGTGGTAACTAATTGCAACATAATTTTTTTTTTAAAATAACATAAGAAAATCATTTTACTTTGTCACTTACACTTGTGACTTAGCCATTTATCTATGTACAAAAGTGTGGTTTAACTTTTTTTCGTTTCCTTACCATGATATTAAACTCTACTTAACTCATTCGTAGTTTATGTGGTTCATACAATCACTTAGTCAATTCACATCTTCATAATTTAAAGTGATATCAACCCTTAAATAATGGTACTCATGTTAGGACTCCAAAACATGATGTGAGAGGATTTTCTAACTTCCCTAGGGTCCCATACTCTTAAAATATCAATTAATAGCATAATAGAGTCCACTAGTCTTTCCATTGGTTAACAACAAAAAGAAACTTATACTAAGCACTGAACAACCATTATATAAAACTGGGATTTCATGGTTTTACGATTGTTTCTAATATTTTACTATGATAAACTAGACATCTCAAACTTTACAATAAGGTATAGCATAAACCATTTAAGAAAGTATAGCTGGAGTTATGTAACTTACGATCCAATTGTCTTATACTAACATTTGCAAGCAAGTTAGACCTCTTCAAGGAATTCTTGGGAATTCAAGGTTAATCTAAAATTTTCATATTTTAGATATGTGAAACTAGACTCTTTAATCTTCCTAAAGACATATTATATACCTATATTGGAGTTGTACATCCTAAGTTATGCACGTCGCAAACCAACTACTTCAAACCGGACTTCCAGAAACAAGGCAACAACTTCAAAAAAATACTTGGATTAATATTATTATCCATAAGTCCTAAGACTTTCTAATTAAATTCCTTTGAGTTATTTTTACATAGGTTCAAGTTTCACTTATTTTGGACTTCCCTAACTCAAGATATGCCCGTTTTACTACGCTACCCTCAACACACCAAACAACATTTGTTTGCTATAGGAGGGAACTATAGCGCCCTGTAACGCACTATAGCGCCCAGAACAGGGGTTGGCTACAACCCTAGTGTAACACCTCATTCATGACCGATTTATTATCATTACATATGATATTAAGCACTATTGTAATCAGAGTAATAAAATGTGGAATTACGAATAATTTTTTCTTTTCTGTGAATAAACTAATTATGTATTCACTTTCCTTGATTTTCTTAATTAGTGCCCATACACTATTAATTCGTTGAATAACACACTCCATATTCTTTGATTAATTCATTCTTACTTATAATCATTCATGCTCTCATTTAAACATCTCAGTTCCATGTGCTTTAATCTTTTACCAAGTTGTAAACATTGATAAATTACACGAAGACTTCATATCATGTTGGGATTAGTTAATTCAACTTCCTTAAGGTCCGTTAACATTGAATACTTGCATTCTCAGTACATGTGGCATTTTCAGTATATGAGGTGTTCCCAGTGCATGAAGCGTTCACAACACTGCTAATGGAATAGCTCTTTCAGTCTTATTATTTTAGCACATATGCTTATACCTCTAGGGTTTTAAACTGACACATTATTTGCCATAAATGGGTAAGGATTGCAAGAGTCATGGTTCTTCAAAACATGTTAAATTCTTGACAGTAAGCTATTGATGGTTTTTGGAAACTTCGATTCCACATCAAACTAGGGATGTTTTGCTAAATAGAAAATTTTGATATTTGGAGGCAAGAAACAAGACTTCTGGGACTTTAATATGATATATAATATGACCTGTTTGGTTAAGAAATAAAGGAGATACTGCCTTTACAAATACTAGCCAGAATCTATCAGCATAAAATACAAATTTAGACAATGTTCAATTTTTGCAAAACTAGGAATGACTCACAACCCAGAAAAATCTCATTTCTATGAAGTGAAAGTATACATCATAAGCTTTAATTTGATATCTTACACGTCTCATTTGGTTAATAATTGAGTAAGATATGGACTTTCTAAGTCGACCGTACTTGACATAATTAAAATTGACAGTACTTGGTTGCATTCTTAACTTAAAGGTTATCTCAACTCATTGTGATACCTGATTGACCAGCATAATTTCCATGATAGGCATTCCAACATAATGTCCAATTACAGCATCATAGTCTCTTGAACATAAACATTAAGCTTTAAGCTTACATAATCCATATACATTGTTCTTTAAACAAATCTACATAATTGAAATTATGCAAAATACATGTAGCCAACATCTAGGCCTCAAAATGTGCATCCTCGTGTGAATTGGAGTGATCATGACAAGCATACAATCATACAAGTAATAAATAAGTGAGTAGAGTTATCATCCCACGAGGATTAATTGCATCAAGTACTATTCTCACTATTCCCTTTAATTTGGACAGATCAAAGTAAATTGAAGAGTAATTTTTTAATTAAAATAAAAATAAATTTAAAAACAATTGCAATTAAAATAATTAAGGCAAAGAACTTTGAGAACTAAAACAAAGTTTAATATTAATAACAAAAATTGTAGCTAGGAATATTTCACCTATGGTCCTCCTTGAGTAGTTTAAATTAATTTCAATAGTAATTCATCTCAGATATTTAAGACAATTCATCTTCTAAAATTAGTTGGTTAAATCATAATGTCTTAGTGACTTTAACCCTTTATCCCAATTAGAACCCTAATGTCTTAGTTATTCATCTCAGAATAAGCATTAAACACGATGAATTATGAAGTTTGCATCTCAAGCAAGCCTATGTCTAGATCATGCAAGAATTCATATTTTACCTCTGTCAGAATTAGAATCCAATATGTTTATTGTGAACCCTAACCCTCAAATCCCTATAAGAGTGATCAGTTCATACAAGGATATAGAAATTCATTCAAGGTAAAACACAAATAAACTAAGATAATTTATTAAAGAAATCAAATTAAACCACAAATAGAATTCACGTCGGATCCATAACCCTAACTACAAAAGAAATTTAGCCAAACATAGCTAGCTTAAACAAAAAAAAGAAAAAAAAAAGTAGAAGAAGTCATGAAGAAGAAAAAGAAAAGAAATTAATGTTGCCCAATTCTTCAGGTCTTCTCTCTGTGAAATTCTCCAATCTCCAGCAAAAGCTCTTCTCTTTCTGAATGTGTTAGCTTCCTTTCTGTTTCCAAGAGTTGCCTTTTTATAGTGATGAAATCATATCTTTTAATTTCCCATAAGATCTTCAATGGAATCTTCATTAGGATCTCCGATCATATATTTAATCAAATCCTTCAAATCTTCCCTTTTATATTTAAAGGAAAACTTTCCCTCAAAATATGAATGAGAATCTTCAATAAGATCTTCAATCAATTATATGATTCAGAAATCCAAAGAAAAATTCACTCGAGCTCTCCAATTTATCTCTTTATTGAGCTGAATATTACTGCAAAATATAAGAATTTTTATGAGAATATTACTGAGAATAAAATAACACTTTAATTATAATTCTCATAACTTTTAATTATTTTTAAATCAATTTTATGCTCATATTAACCTATAATGCATAATAAATTGGAGACACATCAAACAATTCTTAGAGTTAGACATTGTTGTGCCAAACAATAAACAAGAATAAACAATATGAAGCAGGAAAGTGACCTTGGAAGAAGAATACATGAAATTCAAGCATAACATTGCAACAAACAAGTAATTCAGAGCAGATGCTCAGGAGAATACTATGCTAAGCATGAATGACTTCCAATTTTTTGATAACTTCAAACAATAATTCCAGTTTTCAATAGGAATATAATCTAACTTGAGTACCCCTCACTAGGATAAACAAAACACTCATCACTCAAGTGTTTGGGGTAAAATCACTAAATCTATCAATGTAATAGCACTATCATAGGCTTGATCCTATTCT